AGACCATTTTTACTGTAATTATCATTACTTTTCCAAGGGCTTTCTTAGCAAATTGCTTTTTTATTCCAGGCAGCTCTGTCCTAGGGCCCCAAACACATGTGATTTGAAGGCAGAAAACCCGGGTTCACACACTAAACCGTGGTGTGTGTTCTCTGTGTGACTTTGGAGTTACTTCACCCTCTGAGTCTCATATGTCCCCTCTATGAAACAGGAGCTGTTGTACCTGTCTCAAAAGAGGGCTTGACCACAACAATGTGGGAGTGTCCTAGAGCCTCACAAAGAGGGACGGCTTCTCTCTCTGCACAAGACTGTGCTTTGATTCTTTTTCATAGCAGAACGACAGGGGACTAAAGCCAGCCCAGAGGGTTTCACCCTCCTTATACTTGCCAACGAATACGGTGACCTGTCGTGTCTGCATATTTTCCTCTTTGCTCCCATTCTCTGCCTGAAGGCAGGATTCCAAGCAGTCAGCCCACAGCTCACGTGAGACCTCGGCCCACGGCTTTTAGCTGCAACCTTTGCCAACTCGTAACCAACCCTGTGACCAGCAGACCCAGGAGGAACCCAAAGGAGGGGGCATTCTGCCTCCAGCTAGTTTTAAGAGTCCTGTAGTATACAGTGATTGAGGATATGGACTTCGGAGCCCAGCTTCCTGGATTTGGAGTCAAGTGATTCAACTTCTCCATGCCTCCGTTTCTCTAATGCGTTAAGGGGTTTCTTAAGCATTAAATGAGTTAAGACACATTAAGTGCCAAGGATACTGTTTGGTGTATATTAAATTGAACCACACAAAACTACTCCTATTCAATTGTATTTAACCTAAAAAAACAGTAATTTCATGTGGTCTGACCAAGTAGTAAGAACGTAACAGGTGGTAACTCTTACGATAGCTTTCTGCACGGCAGACATACAGCCCCTGGTGACCGCCAGGCCCACCTTCCTTTTGTTTACTTGCAACGCTGAGAAGCAAGCTTTTTCCTCACCAGTGTGGAGACTGGAAGGCAAGCGGGCATGTCTCCACCGAAGGGGGTACAGACGGGAATCGTGCGCGGTCTGTGGCCCCCTTCCCAGGCCAGGCGTGCAGCTTTCCTGCGCACAGTCTTGGGGATCCCTCCTCCGAAGAGGGGCATGTGGTCGCGTGCGGTCTCCCGTCAGGCGTGGGGAGCTTGCCTGAGGGGCTCTCCCCCGTGGGAGAGGAAGCCGTGAGATGAAGCGGGCCGCGTGGGGAGCACGTAGGGTGTGTGTGTACACCCTCAGCAGCCGTGGGCTCTCTCCGGCAGGAGCTGGAGTGGCTGCTGGAGATCAACAGGCTCACGCACCGCCTGCTCTGTAAGCACATGACCCTGGACAGCTTCGACGCCATGTTCCGGGAGGCCAACCACAACGTGTCTGCCCCCTATGGCCGCATCACCCTCCACGTCTTCTGGGAGCTGAACTTCGACTTCCTCCCCAACTATTGCTACAACGGGTCCACCAACCGGTAAGGGAGTCCCTGTGCGCAGGGGGCCGTGGTGGGCTGGGGGGTGGGGAAGCGGTCCCTTCCTGGAACAGGCGTCTCTGGGAGTCCCTGTGTCCGCACAGTCTCTGTGCTGGGGGTGGGGAGGCCACAGGGAACAAGCCTGCCTCTGAGGGCCTTCAGGCAAGGAGGATGCAGACAAAAAAATGGGAAGAGTGAATTATGAGATGGAGGAAAGCCCCAGTCATGAGAGAGAAAACACCGCCACCTGATCTGACCTGGGAAGTGATGGGAACCCCAAGAGAGGCTTCCTCCTCTGACAAGTAGTGCTTGAGTAGAGATGTGAAGGGTAAGTAGGAGTAAATAAGGTGAAAAGACAGGAGAAGACTATTCCAGGCAAAGTTTCCAAGGAGCCGAGAGTGCATGGTGGGAATGGCTCCAGTGGAATGAGGCGGTGCCGCGGAAGTTAGTACAGCCCAGCCTAGGGGCAGGCATGGCGCCTTCTGAGCCAATGGTACTTCGATGAGGATATCCACATACATGAATACGTTTGTGCAAAGTAGGCACACACAGCCCTGTGTCAGGCACCGAGGGGAGGACGTGACCTTATCCTCATAGAGGATTCCTCACAGAGGTTCAAATCCTACCGGAAGCGGAGAGACATGTTCACCTGCAGAACAAGTCCACGAGGTCCCACAAACGTGTGTGTGTTTATAGGTCCTCTCAGTACCCTCAGGGCATGGTTCACGGCCAGGATTCAATAAGCCTGTGCTGAGTGAAGAGAAGGCTCTAGGAGGGAACCCACGGATGAGCCTGAGCCCACATACTTAGCAAGCCAGGCTTGTGGTTCTGTAATGATTTGGGACTTTGAATCATCTCAAGCAGAGGTCTGCAAGCGATCGCCCACAGGCCACGTCTTGCTGCCAACTGTTTCTATACAACCCAGGAGCAAAGAATGCTATTGACGTTTTTGAACAGTTGGGAAAAAGAATCCAAAGAATTATAGTTTGATGACAAGTGAAAAATCATTTGAAATTCATAAAGTTTGACTGGAACCCCGCCATGTTCATTCATCTATAGTTGTTTCTGGGCACTTCACGCTACGAGCCACACTTGAATAATGGTGACAGAGACCATCTGGCTTGCAAAGCTGAGAACACTTCCTATCTGGGCCTTTCCAGAACGAGTATGTGGAACCCTGCTCTGAAGAAGCCAACCGGGGGTGGGGGGAGGGATCAGAGCCCCAGAGAAGGCCATTTCCAGGCCCAGCCAGTGGTCCCTTTCTTGCCCGCTGTCCCTATGAGCAGCCATAGCCCAAAGGCTAGCCTGGGAGTCTGGACCACGGTTTTCCCACCTATGGGAAGGAGACAGCAGGTGAATGAATGGGAGTGTGTCATAAGAGTTTAGTCATTTTACAGACAGCCACCTAGAAACTCTGTGGTTGCACCTGGTCAGGAAGGGCTCTGGCTGGGTTGTGTCCCATGAAGAATGCTCTCAGGACCCAGTTAACTCCCACCCCTCTCTTTTCCTCTACTAGTTTTGTTCGAACTGCCATTCCTTTTACCCAAGAACCGCAAAGAGATAAACCCGCCAATGTCCAGCCTTATTACCTCTATGGATCCAAGGTGAGTAGTCTTGCCTGTGTCCTCCTCCTAAGAAGACTAGTGAGCTTAAGCAAATACAAAAGTGTTCCCCAAATCAGAAAAAATAAAAAGGTACAGAGCTAGAGAGGCAGAACCAACTGTAAGTATACTCGTCTTTATTTGTGCACAGCTAGCAAGGCTGGGGGTAAAGCAGACTTGGCAGGGTGGTTGCTGGGTGAGAATTATTTGGGAGGATTTCACTAAGGCGAGCAGGGAAGTAGGTGTGTGGGGCTTCTTGTCTTCATCCTGTGTCCTCCTGTTACTCAGCTGATTCATTGCAGTGTGTTCGTGTGATTCTGGGATTTTGTGTTCCAGAAAGGCAAGGGTTTTGCTGACAGGTAGCCATGGAGAAGGTGGAGTTCTGAAGGAAATCCCAGAAGGCTGGAGCTAGAGCTGGGAGACAGGTCTTCTCCCATCTCTCTGCTACTTTGTTCACAATACACATCCTGACATTAACCAGGCCTCCCAAATGGTGCCCTGTTCTAGACTTTCAGCCCTTTGCCATTCATGAAGCAAACATTTATTAAGCGCCCACAATAAGCCAGACATTGGACTAGATTCTGCATGCTGGGGATGTATCAGAGATTAAAACAAACACCATCTCTACCCTCCTCGAATTTCTACACCCGTGGTAGGGACAGAGGGCAATGTTCACAGAGTCTCACCAACACTATGATAGATGTAGGAGATCTGTTTCTTACCCTGTGGGTTTGAAGGGGAAGAATGCCACTGCAAGAGTGAAACATGTCCACAAAAACAAAGCCAACATTTTCCTTTGTGATGGAATAGAAATGGCCACCTTTGACCCCATTTTCAAAAAGTAAGCCCAGATGGACCCAGAAGAACTGATCACATATAAGAAAAGGTACTCCTCTAGGTCAGGGGACCCTCGATTGGGAAGTGTGGTGAACCCATGTGCTCCCACCACTTAGGTCTACAGGCAGGCTTAGACATCTTGGGATGATGCTGGGACAGTGCATATGTCCTCTCGAGGACAGCCAGTCTGGTCAAGGCAGCTTTCTCTAAACAAGGGACACTTGGAACCAGCATTTTGGATAGTTCATAGACATGTCATTGAATGACCCTGACTCACAAAGTAAGAACAACACCTTCCTTTCCAAATCTCTTTCAAACCTTGTGATTATCAAGGAGAAAGACACATTTATGTTGATGCTTATATGTCTTTAATACTTTCTGTTCTCCAATCTCCTTTTTTGTGGAAGCTAAGAGAGCAGACCTTAAGCTCAGAGTCTTTAGTAGGCCATAGAATCTAAGTCAAGCTTAATGTTATTTTGTTTCCATTATATTTATTCTTATGCCTCTTCTATTTATAGCAGGAGGGTACTGGTTTTTCATTTATGGAGTCATATAAGTCTTTTAAAATCCAGTTTAGGTTTTAAAAATGAGTTGATTTAAAGAAAAATGTTGTTAATAATAGTAAAGATAGCCTGTGGTTTAAACAAAATAGAGATGGGGTACAAGGTGGTATATGATAGCCTGAAAGCTGGAAAATACTGTAGAGCAAGGCTTCCCAGTCTTTCCAAAATCATCCCCCCAACAGCAGAGGGGACAGGACGTCCACCTCTGCTGACTGAGAACATACCCCCAAAGAGCCCATCTTCAACTCAAAAGTTTCCTCAAAGTACTGTGTTTTATCAAGTCATGCAAATTTTGCTTTCTGTGCCATAATATATTCATGTTTGTTTAAGCGTTAAAATGCTGTTTTCCATTCCTAACGGGGGTCCCCTAAACGGACGCTCCTGAGAGACGCCATGTTCTCCTTTGGCATACTCTGGGGGTATACGCTTTCCAGCTTGAGAAGCTTTGTCATAGGGCATTCATCCAACCCTCATGACCCACAGGAGCACTGACCCTGGACAGCTTCTACAAGAAGGTTGAGGGGAGGCGGAAGGGTTGTCTAGGAGCACATGTTTACAAAAGATCTACTGTATGGAGGGCTTTAAGCTACGGGGTGCGGGCCGCCTCCTCCCTAACCCTCACTCCCTAAAATGAGGCAGCATGGCAGCATGATCACCCCCACCACCCTGCAGTAAGGCTCCCACGTCGGGGACATCCTGATTGGCGGCATCCTCATCAGCTCCGTCTTCCTGGTTGGCTTCCCCTTCGGCTTCTGGTTCTGCTTCTGCTCCGGAGTTCTTGCGCGGCATTTCCACCAGGGGGAGGCCCTGCAGATCTTCCTCTCTCTGCCCAAGGGCGGGGGCCTCCTCTGGCCATCTCACCAACCCATTGGCTTCCTCCATGTGGCCGGCTCTGTAAGACCATCGAGGCTCATGGCAACGGATGCACCAGAACTGGAGGCAGATGAAAGCTAAGACGGCTGTGAAGCAGGCCAGCAGAATGGCCATCAACACCCACAGGGAGATCTGGGGGTCCACCAGCGAGCTCCCAGATGCCAGCGGGCTCTTATCCAGGGTATGGAACATGGTGCAGTAGTGCCTATAGGGGAAGGCAGCCTTCTTGCAGCTGATGCAGAGGAAGTAGAGAGTGGAAGGGGCGAGGTGTTCCAGCACCACGGAGCTGATGGTTCGAGGCACCTTCTCCTCGTGGTGGAAGCTGTAGCGAAGATAGCCGGAGAAGATGCTGTTCCAGTTGGGCCTATACATAATATGGTAATAGTCCTCCAGGCAGGGCTCTGAGGATGACCAGGAAATGATAGCTCCTGTGTGAGAAACGTTCCCAACCTCGATGTTCATCCTGATTCTAGAACCAGAATCAAAGTGAAAAATGACATCCCCTTATTGAGGCACTTAGGTACGATATTCATAACCACCATATGTTGAGCATTCATGATGGAAACTAAGATTGCCCCTGTTTCACAAAGAAATGGGGATCAGGAGGTTACGTTACTCAGTGAAGGCGTAGCTAAGAAATAAGAGATCGGAAGTTCACATTGGGGCTGTCTCATGTCAAAGCCCTGGCCTGCAGGCCTGAAAAAGAGGCACCCACATCCCCCAGCCTTATCCTCCCCTGACTCAGGTCCTTTAGATGCAACATAGTTTCCAACCCTTTAAAAAACGAAGAAAGGCAATAAAAGAAATCGGACAACCCGATTAACGTGCCCTTGTTAGTCACCATGGCTCTGCGGCCTCCAAGTCAGACCATTCTATCACCTACGGTATCCCTTCTAGACCTTCTGTTTCTGCCTCCAGTGCTGTGAGCTCAGTCATCTAGAACATTCTGCCCACTGCTATTTTAGCCTCTCAATTCTGTTGCCCATGAGAGAGGAGATTTGCGTCATCACTCCTTGCCAGCTGATTTCTCCCCAAAGCCTCTGCTCATGTTTTGTTTCTTTGTTTGTTAAGGCCGGAGGTCCCCAGGAAATTTGTTGTATAGGTCAAGGTCAAGGCAGTCAGCTCCTAAGACTAGCATAAATGCTGCTGTTTCTTACTTCTGGTCCTGTGAGTGTTAACAATGATAGTCATCACCAACAGTTAGTGAGTGATTGCTGGGTCACATCTAGTATGTGTCATGCTCGATGCTCACATACTGTAATAAATTTCCCTTAATCTTTGTCACACCCTCTGAGCATTTCCAGAGTCAAGGCTGCTGGGTTTAGTTACAGATCGTCATTGCAAATTGAGGTGCTGGTACTAACACCCAGTTGCTGTTTTTCCACAAATCAAATGAGCCCTCTTCAGATTATCAGCCCTCCTGCTTTGGTAAGAGAGCACCATCTTCAAGCTTTTTAGTTTCTCTTAAATACTATCTCTCTGAGAGAGAGAGTGTCCCCTCCACTGAATTTCCCCTGATCGAAAATTCAGGGGCAGCCATATTCTTCAGCCTGTGTGTGCTCACGTACAGTCTCCAACCAGCCCTGTTCTCTCCCCTTCCTGTCTCATGTGAAAGTGAAATGCAGAAGCCTGTGGTTTAGATCTTAATGACCTAGTAAAAACCCATCAACCAGATTTTAACCTGAATTGGATGTGAAGCCAAACTGATTTCCATGACAAGCTGCGCTCTCACCTCCCTGCCTCCCTCCAACCTTTTATTTCCGTGCCCGCCTGTTTACCTAGACGAGGTGGGTTGCAGAAAAGCACAGCACTGAGTGATTTTTCAATCCTCGTTTTTCTTCTCTAAGGATGACAGTGAGCTGAAATGCTCAGGAAGGGAAAGAGTTCCCTTCTATTTGGTTGGAAATTTCTTCCCAGAAACATGGGTAATGAAAAGGACAAGACAGGTGTGCTCAGATCCCTCCCGGGAAGGTCATTGCGAAGGAGACTGTTTGCGCTCTCTTCATCAGTCTCCCTTCTTGTGACCTCTCCCGTCCTCTCCGCCCCACACATCCCTGTAAACACACTTCTGACCACAATGAAAAGAGCTTAATTCATTGCTTATAATACAGAGGCAATGGCCTTTGTAAACCCCTTCCTTCAGGGGTGATCAGGAATCCCGTGTTTTGTCATGAATCTTTTCTCCTCTTTGCTTCGCATCTGCTGCTGGCTGTCTTTGCAGACTGAGTTCTCCACAGCAGACATTTTTAAGAGCTTTCTGGCAAGACACTGTGGCAGCATCTTCAGCTTTGGGGACCAGATGAGTCTCCCTTATTTGCTTTTCCTTTTCTGCTTCTGTTTCTAAATTCCCCCTATTTTTAGCTGTTCGTATTGCCATCGCCTGGCCCTATGCCAGGCAGAGTGTGAAAGGAAAAAACATTTCCATTTCCAAGAAGAGCCATTTATGTCCCTTACCTGATGCTCGCGGTGGATCTGGTTAGAACGCAGCCTGCAGAGGCAGGGACAGAATGGACCCAAGCTGAAGGGATGGAGCCTTCTCCCCTCCTCTGCTCTGGGCTCTCCTTGATGCCTCTCTCGCCACTGTCTGAGTAATCCCACTGTCGCCCCCAACGCTCACATTATTCATTTCTTCAGATCAGCATCATTCACCATGGCAACCAGCAGGCATCTGTACGCACGATGCTTTCAGGGACCAGTCTGGAAAGGCTTTTGCCCACTGAGCGGAGCTCTCATTCCTTTGGCCAAAAAAAAAAAAAAAAAAAAAAAAAAAAAAAAAGCAAACAGTCTCCTGCAAACTGATCCTCAGAATGGTACTAATTGTTCCAGGACTGCCAAATTTTCTCTTTGATTGCCTGGTGATCGTTTTTTGCCCCATCTAGACCCTCTTTGGACAATGGCTCAATGTAAAGATGCCCATCTCAGTTATCCAACAATTAAAATAGTAATTTTATCCCAAGCCCTCCCACCCTTACCCTCCCTCTATATCACCTTCTTTCTTCATTCTTGTCTCCTGTGGCATTCTCCAATTATATGTATGACCCTGGTCAAGAGTCTTTTGTTCTCTGGGCCCCGGTTCCATCCTCTGTAAAGCTCTGGGTTTGGGCTCGAGGGGGATGGCAGAGGGAAAGCAGGAGCACTACCCCTGCCCAGTCCAGAACCCTTGTCGGGCTTGCTGAACCATCCCAGCACTGGCACTGATCTGAGTGTCCCATCCAAAATTCTGGTCTACCCAGAACCCCAGAGTGTGACCTTATTTGGAAATAGGGTGTTTATCAATTGAATAAGGTAAAGATCTTGAAATGATATCATCCTAGATTTAAGGGGAGCCCTAAATCCAATGACTGGTGTCTTTATAAGAGAAAGGAGAAGGTTTCCACGCAGAGGGACACAAAGGGAAGAAGCCATGTAGACACAGAGGCAAAGGTTGGGATAATGCTGTTGTAACTAAGGGGCGCCAGCAGCACCTGGAGCTGGAAAATGAAAAGAAGGGGTCTGCCCCGGGGCCTTCAGAGGGGGCGTGGCCCTGCCAGCACCTGGAGCTGAGGCTTCGGCCTCCAGAACTGTGAGATGCTACAGTGTTAAGACACCATGTTTGTGGTAATTTGTTACAACGGCCGGGGAAACTATTACAGCCCTCCACTCCTTCTAGTTGGGCTCACAAACAAGCATCCCAAGAAACTGCCTACCAGCCAGTCACCTGGGGTAGACCCCGGAAATGGAAACTGCTTACTATTCCTGGATTGGATGGTCCTCCAAGTTCCTCTTCTTTGAAGAATCCTGACTCTGCTTCTATTTCCCATAAAGGTGTACCTGCCTCTGAGATTCCATCCCTTCCTGGTCCCCTCAGCCTTGAAAGAATTTGTTGCCATCACTATTGGGACAGTCACAGAGCATGTCAGAAATACAGAGAGAATAAAGTTCTGTTATCTTCAGCCGCCAAGTTTGTGGAAATTTGTCATAGCAGCTCCAGCCAGATTTAGACCTGAATTATTTTACACAAATTATGTGCTTTTAAAAGTCAGGGGTTTTTTTTTTTTTGTTTTTTTTTTTTTCCCTCTTCTTGGTTCTTGGCCAAAGTATCCAAGTGAACCCATGAAAGTCTCCTTGTGATTCACAGGAGTGATAATCAAAAAGTTAAGAAGAGTTTCCTGGGGAGCTGCAGACCCTCCCCTGGCCAAGGGTCTCTCTGAGGCCTGGCGTCTTGGGATGTGCCTTGATTAGACACTTGCTCTGCGGCTTCCCCGTGGCATTAGGTCCTCCCGGGGGCCTGTCTAAACTCTGTTGCAATGTGTGCTAATGGCAGCTCCCTGCAGAACATCAAAGTGTCCTTGCCACAGAAAGGCCAGTGTGGAAGTTTGCAGGTGCCTTTTGAAAAGGTTATTTTGAGGGAAATAAAAATACCAAACTTAGGAGACCTATAGAGTGACGAGACAGAGCTCAAACCTTTGCCACAGAAAATGGAGATTTATTTTTAATGCTCCTGGATGCCATTTTTAACACTAAGCCCTTCATTTGAGAAGTTGAGACACGGAGGATGGGAGTGAGGCCTAGAAACCTGTTTCCCAGATCCCGAGAGAAGGGTGGCATTCCTCAGGCCATATGACTGACTAGTGGCAAAGCCAGGGGTGGAAACCAGGTCCCCAACTCGCAGTCCTGGGTGTGTCCTGCCCCTTTGGGCCATCGCTGTCCACCAGCAGCAGAGGAGCCAGGGCAGCCCTCAGGGTGTGAGATAAATCTTCCGGGGCACTTGCCTCAGGAGATCACATCCCAGCCAGACTCCCTCTCTCTCCCCCTCACGGAGGACCCTCCCGTCATGTGTCCAAGTTGTAGCCTCGTGGGCAGGCAGCCTGGGAGGGCCCTGACTGACTCACAGCTCTAGTAAATTACTGCCAGAGATCAGCCCTACAGGTGTCCCCGTGCCCTTCCTGGAGCTGGCAGCAAAGGGATGATGCGAGGGCATTCCTGGGCCAATCCCAAAGCTGAACGGCACCCAGAAGAAGGTGGTTGTTCAGAGTGCAGGCCCTAAAACCCCAAGGCTGGTTGCAAATCCTGCCTATGTAGACTTGGCAGATCCCCTCACTTTTCTATACCTTGGTTAACTCTTCTGTAAGATGGGAATATCAAGAATCCCTGTGTTAAGTGTTGGGCCACGAGATGAGCCTCTCCCCATAAGTGCTGGGCCTAGGAACAGCCGTTACTCTTCAGGAGACCAGCTTGTGGGCCAGAGCCATTTCCTGAGTTGACTGTAGCTTCATCCAGGAGTTGTCAAGGGCAACTACGTGATGTTTCCCTCCTTCCTTTTTTTTGCTTTCATAAAACAGTTTTATTATTTAGAAAAAAAAAAATGCTCGTTGTATATAAATTAAAGAATACAGAAAGCCCAAAGACAGCAGTCAAACCTGTACAACTCAGAAATAATCAGTGAGAACATTCTGGTACATCTTACCTGGGCTTTGTCACTTTACTCAGGAAACAACTCTTTGAGGTAGGCTTCTTTTTTTTTTTTTTTTTTTTTTTAAGATTTTATTTATTTATTTGACAGAGAGACAGTGAGAGAGGGAAGACAAGCAGAGGGAGTGGGAGAGGGAGAAGCAGGTTTCCTGCAGAGCAGGAAGCCTGATGCACGGCTCCATCCCAGGACTCCAGGATCAGGGCCTGAGCCAAAGGCAGATGCTTAACAACTGAGCCACCCAGGCATCCCTGAGGTAGGCTTCTTATCACTGTTATGCAAAGGGAGAAACTGAGGCTCCCAGCCGTTCATTACCTTGACCATCATCACGAAGTGGGGTTTGGCAGAGCCATGCCACCTTCTGGTCTGTGGTCCCTAGAGCTAGAGCTCCTGGCCAGCCTCCCTGACACGCTGCTCCTCTCCACTGCCATTCTTCCGTCAACGGCTGTCAACAGGAACACTCACCTTCACTCAGCTTCTCTGGAGAAGTAGAGACAGGACTTCACAGTTTAGTGGATTCCAGAATGATGGGAGCAGACAAGTAGCTAAAAGACCTCAGAGAGAATGTCCAACCACCTGAGCGCAGCCAGCAGAAGCAGGGACACCATCGAATACACCTGGAGAAACGCATTCCGAGACTGTTTCTGCTCCCTGCTCTGGAGCCTGGAGTCCACGTACCCCTGACCAAGAGCTCTGTCACTTAGGGTGAGGGGTAATCCTCAATGTGAAAAAACGTTTCACAACTGGTCCAGGAATGGAAACTAGTATATGAGCCTGAGTTTTAAACATATACTTCTCTAAGTAAAGTGAATTATATAGAGTCTATCAAAATACCGCCTTCCAGGTGACATAGAGTGTCACACAAGGCAGCCCTTAAATGATACCAATAATTTCCCAACACTTTTTCAGTCTTTAGAAATTGTTGGTGTGACCTTGTGTTTGGCGTGATCGTCACCCACTAAATGATCCCTTCCCCTCCACCGCCGTCTAAGCCATGATTTGACCTCCGGGAAACTCATCCCACTCTTGGAGTGCTTTCTCCATGAAGTCATGGTCCTAGGACCTAAGGCCCAGTGCTTTGCTGCAGACAACTGAGTACGTCCCTTCTGCGTCCATGTCTTGCCTCCAGCACTTCCCACCATTGCCTGCCCCAGGGAGTCTGCATCAGCCCCACTGACGAGACCACCAGCCCCACCACTGGCTCTGCTGTGCGCCGCACCCCCCCCCACCCTCATGTCTGCATGGCACCACTCCCCAGCTACATAGCATCATTGATCCACCAGTCCAGAAGGCTTTTATTTTGGCACTTGGCATGCATGGCAAAATAGCATTTTGTGTTTTTCTTCCCTTAGATTCTGCCTCTGCTAAATGGGGATGATTGTACCTTGCCTTACCTGGTGTAGGAGGCTGGTAATGCCCCCAAAGATATCAGGTCCTAATCCTGTAACCTGGAAATATTACTTTATTTGAAATAGGGGCTTTGTCGATGTGAATGAAGGACCGTGAGATGGGAAGATTAACCTAATTAGCAGGTTGGGTCCTTAATGCTATCAGGGAGGCAAAGGGAGGTCACCCACATACTGAGGAGGAGCCCACCTCTCAGGAGATGGGAGGGAGGTGGCCAAACCCAGGCACCAGGCGCTGGAAGAGGCAAGGGATGGGTTCTCCCCTTTCAGCCACTGGAGGGGGTGTGGCCCTGCTGACGCCTTGATCTTAGCTCAGTCATACTGATTTTGGCCTATGGCTTCCAGAACTATGAGAGAATGTATTACTGCTGTTTTACCAGATTTGTGGTCATTTGTTAATAGCTGCCACAGAAAACAATACACCTGGGTGTGATGAAGGAATTATTCACAAGCTGAGACACATTATACACTTGTGTACGGGTACAGGTTATTTAAAAAGCGATGACATCGGTTTCTTCCAAAACTTAGAATCTCTAAGTATCATAGCATTGGTATGACACTGCCAAACAGATCTCCATCTCCTGTTCTCCGTCTTTATTCATGAGACAAGAAAGGGAGGAGCATCAACCCTTGAGGTCTCTAGAGCAGTTCCCTTGGATTTTTTAACCTCTGAGTTGAGAAGCCCAAGAAGGAACCCAGACGTTGGAGACCCAGCCTGTGGCTCACTACATATCAAGAAGGGACAGACAGAAATACCAGCAAGCCGTCCTGATGCACTTGAACCTGTAACTCAGGGTGTATCAGTCCTTCAGCCCATCTTAGCCGCTGGGGTCTCCCAACAAGGACGGACTTGCAGTTTTACTCATCT